TGAAAATGAAGAAACATCTTACCAAAACCTCTGGGACGCCTTGAAAGCTGTAGTAAGAGGAGAATTTATATCCCCACAAACGCACATGAAGAAAATGGAAGGAACACAAATTAACAACCTAACAAGCCATCCAAAGAAGCTGGAAAAGCAAGACCACAAAAACCCTAATTTCAGCATAAGAATCCAGATCACCAAAATAAAAGCCCAAATCTAGGACACAGAAGAGAAAAAGATAATACAAAAAATCAATAAAACAAAAAGCTGGTTCTTCAAAAGGATAAACAAGATTGATGTTCCTCTAGCTAGACTGACCAAGAAAAAATGAGAAAAAAATCAAATAAGCATAATCAGAAACACAAAAGATGAAGTCACATCTGACCCTGAAGAAATACAAAAGATCATTAGAGATTACTACGTACACTTGTATGGAAACAAACTTGAAAACCTTAAGGAAATGGAGGACTTTCTGAGATCACACAACCTACCTAGATTGGAACAAGAAGAAATTGAGACCCTAAATAAGACCAATAACAATCAAGAAAATCGACTACGTAATAAGAAAACTTCCTGCCAAAAAAAGCCCTGGTCCAGATGGCTTTCCAGCAGAATTCTACAAGACATTTAAGGAGGAGCTGATACCAATCCTACTGAAGGTATTCCAGGCGATTTAAAAAGATGGAAATCTCCACAAATCATTTTACAAAGCCAACATCACATTGATACCCAAACCAGTGAAAGATCCAACAAAGACATAGATGCTAAAATTCTCAACAAGATCCTAGCAAACCGAATTCAGCAATACATCTCAAAAATCATCCATCATGACCAAGTAGGCTTCATCCCTAGGATGCAAGGCTGGTTCAAATTGCAAAACCATAAATGTAATTAAATACATCAACAGATTTCAAAACAAAAACCACATGATTATATCATTAGATGCAGAAAAAGTTTTTGATACAATCCAGCACCCCTTCTTGATAAAAACCCTTGAACATCTAGGCATACGGGGAACATACCTCAACATAGTAAAAGCCATCTACAAGAAACCCACAGCCAGCATACTCCTAAATGGACAAAAATTGGAACCATTTCCCCTGAAAACTGGAACAAGACAAGGATGCCCACTCTCACCCCTCCTGTTCAACATAGTATTGGAAGTTCTGGCTCGAGCAATCAGAGAAAAGGAGGCAATCAGGGGTATCCAAATAGGAAAAGAGGAAGTCAAGTTATCTCTCTTTGCAGATGATATGATTGTGTACCTTGAAAACCCAAGAGAATCTGTCAAAAACCTCCTTACACTTATAAAGGCCTTTGGCAAAGTCTCAGGATACAAAATAAATGTACAAAAGACAAT